GTCCGTTGAGTCTTGTGGTGAGTTCCGATGTAGGGTAGTGTGATGAGTGTGTCAGGGCGCGTAGTATCTTCCTGATGTTGTTTGTGTAGGCATCTTCTGACCCAGTTTTTTGGATATCCATTATCCCTGAAAACCTGGAAGAGGTATTCTTCTTCCTCTTGGTGTAGTTCCGTGTTGCTGCAGTGTGTTGTTGCCCTTTTAAACAGTGTTCGTACGCAGCTTTGTTTGTGTGTGCTGGGATGGTTACTGTTGAAGTTCAGTACCTGGTCTGTGTGTGTGGCTTTTCTGTATACTTTCATTTGCAGTTCTCCATTTGTCTTGCTCTCTACCATGACGTTCAGGAATAGGAGCTGTTTGTTCTTCTCTTCGTCTCTGGTGAATTTTATTCCGGTGAGGGTGTTGTTTATAAGTTTGTGTGTTTCCTCTAATTTGGTCCACTTAATGATGACAAAGATGTCGTCCACGTAGCGTATCCATAGTTTCATCAGGAAGATACTACACGCTCCAACACACTCATCACACTACCCTACATCAGGAACACATTGGAACTCACCACAAGACTCCTACGACCGCTGGGCATCAGAGTGGCACACAAGCCCACGTCAACCCTATGACAACTGCTCACCCGAACTAAAGACCCATTCCCCGTCATGGACAGGACCAATATCATCTACAAGATCCCCTGCAGAGACTGTGAGAAACATTACATCAGACAAACAGGAAGGAAACTAACAACAAGGGTACATGAACACCAACTGGCCACAAAAAGACACGACCAATACTCACTCATGTCAATCAACATGGACAAGGAAAACCACCATTTCGACTGGGACAACACCAAAATCCTGGGACAAGCTAGGCAGAGACAGGCACGAGAATTCCTAGAAGCCTGGCACTCCATGAAGCATGCTATTAATAAACACATTGAACTCGACCCCATATACATCCCACTACGAAGGAAAACCGGAAGTGAGGCAATCCAGCTCAACGGACTCCAGAGTTTAAAAACCAGGCGGGAAAACACACCGACGCTTCATCGGAGGCTGCACTGAGGATGTTACCAAGCATGGTAACGAAACATCTGCGATACAAGAAACCAGCCTGGTGAGACAACCAACCTCAACAATTTGTTTATGTCCTGCAGGGGAGGAATATTGTCATTCTTACTTCTTTCTTAAATGTGACTTCAGATCCACAGCAATGAGGCTAACTCTTAACTGCCCTGTGAAATAATTCATGAAACCACTAAAGTCAAGAGTAATTAGAGATGGGCAATAAATGTTGGCCTTGCCAATGGATGCTTAAATTCCAGTTCAAAAGAAAGAAGAATCTGATTTGCTTTTTTATCATCATATCTTTAGCTTAACTTTGATCCTTATTCTCTGTTTCTTTATTTTTCTGTAACTAACATTTATTTTCTAGCAGATTGTCCGTATTGAAATTCTCTTGTCAAGCAGTCATCCAGCAAATTTCTATTTCAACATGTACCCTTGCAACGGTGGTGCTAATACAGAGTCTCATTTTATATGGTTGGCAAGGTTCAACATTGTAAAGCTTAAAAATGTTCATATGCTGTACAGCTAGTTTCTATGTGAGGGACAAACTATGAAGTTAGCTGAGTAATTCAGATGAAACATAAAATATAAACATTAAGGCTTAGTAATAGGTAATTATTGATGTTGTTGCATTCTGCAGGAGTGAATGCAGCCAACAATGATTGGCAATGGTGTCACAGAATTAGGATAGCAACGTAAACAGAAACATGTCAGTCAGACAAATATCTATTCATGGGCCAGCAGAAGGATCAAATGATCATCATATTGTTCAAACATTGTTTCTTTTCATTGAGTCATAAAATAATTTGCTTATGTATGGGAATTGATGCTTACAATTATTAAATGGTACAATGGGAAATAATAGAGGCTTGGTTCAGAAATGTTTTTAGATAACTACATGTGTTGCCATTATGTACATTAAGTTTTTCAGCAGACTAGAATAGCACCTGAGTGAAGAATACAATGGAAACAACTTTTTGGGACATGTGACCAATTGAGGGCACTCATTTGGCCAAAAGCTGTGTCTATTTTTTTACTGCAGAATAGAGAAGGCATCACAACCACAGTACTTCCAGAACAGAAAGGTCAACACCAGTGTCAAACATATTAACAGTACATTGGGGTCAATTGACTTTCCACTGTTAGTCAGATAAAACTCTGTTCTTTAGGCATACTGATGTATGTATATTATGTATAACATTGAATGGTATTGACACTGCATTTTTAATTCCTGTTACAACCAGGCTTTTCAACTCCCGATAACTTGTACTGTATTTACAAGATGTCTTTAATGTAATAAAAGAACCTAAGATACTTCACAGCAACCTGGTAAACTGAAAATGACACTCAGATGCAGGCATAATGAGATATCTGGAAAAGTGACCAAAAACTTGATCAGAAGTGGGTTTTAAGAAGGATATTGAAGGAGGAAAAGGAGGTAGAAAGATTGAGAATTTTATCAAGATCTAGGGTCTTGAAAGCTGATAAGTCTCCAGCCTGAAAGATTAAATTAGTTTCTCTCTTCAATGATGTTGCCAGAGTTGCTGAGTACTTCCAGCATTTTCTGATTTCATTTCAGATTCCCAGCATCATCATTAATTTGTTCTTAGATTGAAAGTGCTGTGTAACTGGGACCAAACGTAAATCACATGGAGAAGAGTGATGGGTGATTGGATTTGGTATGACATAGGTTGCAGGGAGCAGTGCTTTGGATAAACTAAATGTTGCGCTGCATGGAGGATGGAGGATGGGATATTTACTGGGAGATCCTTGGATTACTCCGGTTCTAAGGTGACAAGAAATGGAATTTTTTCAACAGTAAAGGGCTTCAAATGTAGTTGGAGGAAGGCAAAGTTGTAGTAGTGGAGCTTTATGATATGGAGAATGAGCTGGAAGCTACACTGTTGAATTGAATGCCAAGGTTGTGAACAGTCTCCTTCAACCTGTACCACTGGTTCAGGAGATGCAGGCTCAACAGATTTTCTGGCATCCTGCCACAATTTGGCTTCCCTTGCCACATACTATACATGGGCTTCCTGGAATACCAGCTGTTCTGGATACCTTGGAGCGGTGACTGAAAAGATTATTCAAAGCCTCCTTCTGAGGATGCCTGAGCATCTTTGGCTTCTGTGAATGCTTCATCCAGAGCTAGCACAGTTTGCAGACTCAGACAAAAGGAAAACCCACCCAACCACAAGTGGGTAATGTCTAGCACTCACCTCTGGAAAAGTTGCCTAGTTTTGGCAGGTGGGTTTCTAGTCTCGAAGAGTCCGCTATGATCTGGCAGCAAGTCTGAATTCCACGAGAAAGGACTGAACTGGGGCCGAGGGGATGGGATGTTCAGGCAACCTGTGGGGAAGGTCCAAGAATTTGGACTGGCCCAAAATGGGGACAGTCGGGCAGGCTGGAGAGAGAGGATGGAGGTAGTGAGACTTCTGAGGGAGCCAGTGATGTTGTGGCGACTGGATGAGTGGGAGAAAAGTCGTGTGAGTGAGGGATGTTTGAGTATGAATGTCTGGAGTAGGACGGATGGGGTGGAATTAGGCAGACTGTGTTTGTGTGTTGGAGAGCACCTGGGAGTAGCAACACACTTAGACGGAGCAGTGCATAAAGTGTCAGCAGGATTGTGCAGAGACACGGTAAATATTGAAGTTTACTTGGAGAACGTTGTGACAGAAAATCTTTTATCTCAGCAATATGGTTTGTATTGGCCCTTGGGACCCCCCCGATGATGTGCACATTGCTTCCTTGCAGTTCCTGCCCCAGTTATCTATTCTATTTCACACTCCACTTGTCCAGTGGTGACCTTTTTTATTCACTAGTGTTTGTCAACCTTGGGGAAGGCAATCGATAAAATGGCAATGTGTTTGTTGTAAGAGCCCATGATGACAAGCTTTGGTCTCATCAATGTTTAACTGTAGTAAGTTGCATTGATCCGAGCAGAATGTCAAACAAGCAACTTGATAATACAGTGACATTGCAGTCAAAAAAGATAGTGAACAGGTCTGGTCAGCACACAGGTTGAAGCTAGCCCCTTATCTGAAACGGTGTAACATGACTGGGAGTTCCAAGATCACAGAATGGCAGGTAAGTAAAGAAAAGGGATGAGTTTCCAGGATATGAAGAGATAAAAAAAAAAGGCAAGGGGTAGTTCCCAGTGGGCCTCTGTTCCCAACATCCTATAACTCATTCAAAGGAAGTCTGCCTGGTCAAGGGAACCTTCATAGGCGACAAGGACTGCTGTGTGCACTGCGTGATGACAGACCTGACTGTGGTTGGATTAATCCTAGCGGTGACAAGATGAGGCCTTTAGACATTCATTAACTGGCCTGTTACAGTTGACAGTGGGACGAAGGTGGATCATGAGCATTCAAGGCCAGAATGTAAATGTAGTGGAAGCAGACACACTGCTGCCCTCTCTAATTAAAGAACATCCCCCACCTCCAAGCAGGCCACCAGAGAAGGAAAGAGAGAGAGATATTTTTGGTCAATCTCAGAATATAGTTTCCAACCAACCTTTTCAGAGAGGTTATTACAAACCTCTGCAGCAAATGGGCCTTGAACCTGGGCTTCCTGGCTCAGAGATGGGGACATTATCAATGTTTCAGAACCTTCCTCAAAGTCAGAATAAATATTTTTAATCAATCAGTTCAGAGATGTTATTACACACTTTTGGAGTAGGTGGGACTTTGAATTTGGGTTTCCTGGCTCATATTATTCACTGTTGCAGAAGCTGTATTATTTAGATTTTAATGCGTAACTGCCCGCCCTTCCAATATCCTGCCTTTTGTGTACGTGACTCTGAGAATTTAACCCAGTCGAGCAGAAGCGGGGAAACTCCCGATGCGGGAGATCCCTTCGCTTTGTTTTTTATATATTAAAAACTCGATGACGTCAAATACATGTTCGTGCGTCAGGACGTAGATGGGCGGTGACAGTCGTGCATGTGGAATTACGTCACCACGTTCAGCGTAGGTTAAAAAAAATGTTCTGCCTCTGCGAGGAAATTGTGTAAAATGAAGTGTGAAGAAGAAAAGGCAGTGGGAGTGTATTTCGGTTGAATGGCATATTCAATTCTTTTTCATTTTTAAACAACAACGTTCGGATTGTTTGAAGGCTGACGATCGGTGTTGTGTTTTGGCGAGGGGCTGCAGGTTCCTGCCGCTCTGTCGCTCGGTCGGTTGGTTCCTGTTTGGGATGCGAGGCGGCCGCTGAGGGGGAAAAGATATCAACAATATGGCGGCGGTGGAGCTGGAATGGATTCCCGAAACCCTGTATAACACTGCAATCTCGGCCGTGGTGGACAGTTACACTCGCTCCCGCAGGGAGATCCGCTCGCTGCCCGAAAATATACAGTTTGATGTTTATTACAAGGTACGGTCATCTATCCCCTCTCCGCACCCTGACCTCTTTTCGGATTTTTTTAATTGCATTGCAGCTGACTCGACCAATTAACTGGTTTCTCTGGGCTGCGATGATCACCGTTATCCGGTTCTGGTTCATGTGTCCGGGACTGCTCCGGAATAGTGGATGTTATTGCCACGAGTAAATTGCCTTACATGAATTTTGATATTTGGTTTTAGAAACACATTTGCTACCCTTAATCTGCCATTCAAAATCAGGCAAACGATGACCCTAATCTGAATCTGTCATTACATTTCCTAGTTGATGTATTTACACAAGGGTTGTAAGGAACAGGCAGAAAAGTGAAGTTAAGGCCACATCGGATCGACCGTCAACTTGTTCTAGGAACCCACTGAGTTACCTCTTTCTTAAGTAAAATTATTGGGCTTTATTTTGGAGAAATTAGTCAGTTCTAAGGACATAGAAAACTTTGTAAGATTTCAATACTAATTTATTGATAGTAAACAGACTATAACACTGGAAAAAGTAAAATGCTCTGTTGCTCTTTGTGTAGTTTTATTTTAACCGCGTATGTCGTGATATATGGGAGCAGAAATAGACCATGCAGCCCCTCAAATCTGCTCTGCCGTTCAATCAAATTATAGCTGGTCTGATAATCATGAACTACATTTTCCTGCCTGTTCCCTATAACCCTCAGTTGCCTTAATAATTAAAACATTGTCTACCTTCACCTTGGATATACTTAACAACTCAAACTTTACAGCTCTCTGATGAAGAATTCCACAGATTCCCAACACTCCATGAGAAATAATTCCTCCTCATTCGTGTCTTAAATGGTTGACTTCTTATTCTGAGATTGTGCCCTCTGGTCCCAGTCTGTCTGTCAAGGGGAGACAATCTTTCTGCATCATTTATATGTCTTCACTTCCCTCTCTACGTTTTACTTTTCTTAAAAACACAGATTTGTCATTCGTTGGTTGAATATTTTGTGCAAATTCAGCCCTGGCACATTCCTGCTAATTTTGTTTCAGTGATCAGCTGTTCCCACTAGCCACTTGCCAGCTATTTGTTTAGTGAAGACAAAACTACAATGCTGTTCCCCATTTGTTTTGCCATCTGCAGTTAGGAACAAAAGTCATTATGTATTTATTTTAGCAGAATGCATGATGGACTAAGCTTTGAAGTCTGTGGTACGTTGCCTTTTTTTTTTTATTACCGTTTCACGTGGCGTGAAAGCATGTTTAGTTTCGTTATGTAGTTTCTCTCATGGTAAGCTACCAGGCTTGTTGCAATATATTAAGTAGAGATGAGATGCTCCCCACAAGGATGGAGGAAGAATTAGAAAGCCAGACACCTTAAGCTGATTCTATGAAACTTTGGCCTATTGATTAAAGAATACTCTTGATGCCCTTATACTATCTTTGTCAGGTGACAGGTTACAAGAAGACTCTTTGTGAAAAGGAGAGATATAACTAAATTAAATAACTAAGCCATTCTGACAAATTACAAACCTTGCCCTTGTTCCTAATGGCATTAGCGATATTTGACTTGGATCAACTTGTACGCCATATGGTTAAGATTTCCTCTTGGTGCTCTTGTTGTAGGGAGAACGGCGATAAAACAAACTAAAGCTGCACAGTGTTGCAATCTGTGTTGAAACTGAAAGTTACAAAGGGACATAAACAAATTAAATAGGCTAACCAACAGCAGATGGAATTCAACAGGCGAGTATGAGGCTGTCCACTTTGGATCAAAGAGCAACAAATGGGAATGTTTTTATAATAGTACAAAACTGGAACTGTGGAGGAGAAAAGAATTTGGTGGCCACAAATCAATAAAAGCCAGTGCATAAGTAAATAAGTGCTTGGGGAAATTTTAACTCTTCCATGCAATGGGTATAAAATCATAGGTGTGGAAGTTTCACAACAGTTGTGCAGAATCTTGATCATACTCCATTTCACAGACTGATATTAGCCACTGCACGTCTGGAATTACATGCTCACCTTGGAGGAGAAGCAGTATGGATTCACTGGAATCATACATTGTGTTTAAATGATGAGGAAAAGTTGTGATGGAAGATGTCCGATTCAGAGTTTGGATTTTACAACAACAGCATATAGAGTTAGATTTTTTTTTTTCTGAAGGGTTTCAAAATAACTAGGGTTAGACCTCCATATGACATTAAGACCATAAGATGTAGCAGAATTAGGCCATTTGGCGTATTGAGTCTGCTCTGCCACTCAATCATGGCTGATGTGTTTCCCAACCCCATTCTCTTGCTTTTTCCCCATAACCCAGATCTCTCCGTGGCACTGCCTTTGATCTCGCTACTAAGAAAGAACCTATCTATCTCGGTCTTAAATATACTCGATGACTTGGTTGCCACAGCTGTCAGTGGCAATGAGTTCCACCCATTCACCATTCTCTGGCTGAAGAAATTCCTCTTCATCTCTGTTATAAAGGCTCATGCCTTCACTCTAAAGTTGTTCCCTTGGGACCAATGCAAATATAATCTCCATATCCATACTATCCATGCCTCTGTGTTCTGCAAGTCTCAATGAGATTTCCCACACCGCAACCCCAAAAAAAATCCAGACCCCTCAGCCTTTCCTTGTATCACAAGGCCCTCATACCTGGGATCATTCTTGTGAATTTCCTCTGCAATGTCTCCAACACCAACACATCTCTTTTAGATATGGGGTCTAAAATTGCTCACAGTATTCCAAATGCTGTCTGACCAGAGCATTATACAGCCTCAGCAGTATACACCTGCTCTTTTATTCTAGCCCACTCAGAACTAATGCTAACATTGCATTTGCATTCCTAAATGCCAACTGAACCTGCGTGTTAATCTTCAGAGAACCCTGAACTAAGAGCCCTAGTCCCTTTATGCTTCAAATTTCCAAAGCATTTCCCCCTTTAGAAAATAGTTTATGTCTCTTCTTCCGACCAAAGTGTACAACTTCACATTTTGCCATGTTGTATTCCATTCTCTATTTCTTGGACCATATTGCTAGCCTGTCTAAGTCCTTCTGCAAGCTTCCTGCTTCCTCCACACTACCTGTCCCTCCACCTAGCTTTGTGTCATCTGCAAACTTAGCACCAGTGCCCGCAGTTCCTTTGTCCAGGTGATTAATGTATAACGTGAATAGTTGTGGTCCAACAGTAATCCCTGCGGAATTCCATTACAGCCATCCTGAAAAAGACCCCTTTATCCCCACTCTCTGCCTTCTTCCAGTCAGTTAATCCTTCATCCATGCCAGCTCCTTGCCCCTAACACCATGGGCTCTTGTCTTATTTAGCAGCCTGCTATGTGGCATCTTGTCACAGGCCTTCTGGAAACCCAAATAGATCATGTCCACTGGCTGTCTTTTGTTTAACTTGTTTGTTACCTCCTCAAAGAATTCTAACAGATTTGTCAGATATGATCTCCCTTGATGAAACCATCCTGACTTAGCCCTATTTTACCATGCACTTGCAAATACCCCGCAATGTCATCATTAATAATGGGCTCTTAAAATGTTATCAGCGACCGAGGTCAAGCTAACCAGCCCATAATTTCCTGTCTTCTGACCATCCCCCCTTCTTAAACAGGGGTGTTGCATCAGTCATTTTCCAGTCCTCTGGGACCCTTGCTGACTCCATTGATTCCTGTAAGATCGCCATGAATCACCTTCAGAAACCTGGGCATATTTGTATTCCATCCAGTGTGGGTGATTTATCCACCATCGGACCTTGCAGCTTCACCAGCGCCTTATTTAGTAATGGCCGCTATAATCCCCTTACTGTCTTGCCTGTCTGGTGTCTTCCACTTGTGTCCTTATGGAACTATGATCTAATCAAGTATGTCATCGAACAGAGACCCCTGGAGTGTTAATGGAATATTTGTTTTTTGTGTTGGTTTAAGACAGGTGAGATAAACATTGAGGGCTATTAGCTTTTCTTTTGTTCAGCATAACCACTCCTTCACCTCTTATAGTCTAATTGATAATCAGTGATCTGATTCTAGAAGACCCAGAGAGTAAAAGGTTTGGGTGGTTTGGAGGAAATCTGAAGTGAATATATTTTATCTCCTAAAAAGATTATAGAAAACTTCAGGGAAAAAGTAGTTACCTCTATGGAAAAGTTAGTTCATACAACTTCAGCAGCTGGGAGTGTTTTGTTAGAAATCAGCATTTTGGTTTGAAAAGTAACACAGAAATGTGGAAAATAGGAACTGGAATAGGCCATTCGGCCCTTTTGAGTCTGCTTTGCCATTCAATATGATCATGGCTAACTTGGTACCTTGTTCCTGATTTTTGCCCCATGCCTTTTGTTCTCTTTAACCCTAAGAACAACAACTCCTGTTGAAAACATTGTGTTTTGGCCTCAACCACTTTCTGTGGTAGGGAATTCCACAGAATTAGCACTCTCTGGATGAAGAGATTTCTCCTCATCTCAGCCCTAAATGGCCTTTGCTGCATCCTTAGACTGTGACCCCTGATTTTGGATGCTCTAGTCATCGGGAACATCCTTCCTGAATTTGCTATGTTTAGTTTTGTTGGAATTTTATAGTTTTTTGAGGTCCCCCTGTAATCCTAACTTATCCGGTCTTTCTTCATATGTCAGTCCTGCCATCCCTGGAATCAGTCAGTTAAAACTTTGTTGCACTCCCTCCATAGCCAAAACACCCTACCTTTGATTAGAAGACTAAAAATGCACACAGTGTTTCAGATGTGGTCTCATAAAGGCTCTGTACAATTGCAGCATGACATCCCTGCTCCCATACTCTCAACCGATGGCAATGAAGGCCAACATACATTTCAATAAATCTGGAGCTGGAAAAGCACAGCAGATCAGACAGCAACCAAGGAGCAGGAAAGTCAATTTTTGTGTAGGTGAGATGGAGATGGGTGGATGCAGGTAGGGTGTTATTGTGGTTGGTCAGTGGGAAGAGTGTAGCAGTGAGTCAGAAGATGGACAGATTGGGGGAGGAGAGATTTTAAAGCTGGTGAAATCAATGTTGAGGC